TTTACATGTGCAGTCTGAGACGCCTTAATCTTGAGAGGAACACTATGATTAAAAATTAAAGGCTCTGAAGAATTATTCCATCATAAGAAGTTAATCGTCCCCTGAGACTTGAATCTGATCAGAATACTGAGAACAAGATAAAGATAAAAAATCTTTTCTTAAGTGGGTGAAGGGAGACGTTGGACAGGGCAAGATATGACAAAATAACTATTTATAAACTATGAGGGAGGGGTGAGGGAGGGGGGCAGGGATGGAGGGGAAAAATGAGGACCTAATGCCGGGGGTTTAAGTGGAGAGGAAATCTTTTGAGAATGATGAAGGCAATGAATGTCCAAATGCGCTTTACACAATTGATGTGTGTATTGATTGTGATAAGAGTTGTATGAGCCCCTAATAAAATGATTAAAAAAAATAAAAAAGAAATGTTACTGGGGGAAAAGGTAGCAGTGTGGAACCACATGACAGGAAATGTAACTAAGTGGTGGGATTACGGGTGTCTGGGCCTGGCCTGATACTTCACTCTTAAATTGGAGTCATTGCGACCTCGGTGGAACTGTTGGAGGACCCACTTAGATCAGTCTCCGTTCAGTTTATCTAGAACAGCAAGGGGGAACGACCCTTTCACAGGGGTCGTCTGATTCATAACAGTAGCAAAATGACAGTGATGAAGTAGCAACGAAAATAATGTTCTGCTTGAGGGGTCACCACTACATGAGGAGCTGTATTAAGGGCTCTAGAAGCTCCAGCTGGTCTGTTACAGAAACCGAGTAGTTGGTAACTGTTTTGATTGAAACTTGGACCACAGTTTAATAAGCCAACATAGTTAAACCATGATTAGATTTCTGCTAGTTCTTGAAAATGACAGGTAGCGCTTACAATGGCATTCTCGGCATTTGTACAAAGCCCATAGCCATCCAACCGGTGGGCGGGGAAGACGCAGACGGTAAGGTGCTGTTCCCCAGTTCTGGCTTGTGTAAGTGATCCACGAGCCCTTGTCCATGTACCTCATGCCTCCTGTGTGCCTGGCACAGTGTGGGTGTGCCCGGCGCTTGTGCTTTCCAGCCCTGGAGGGGTGGCGCTCAAGTGAGGTGAACTTGATGCAAGTAAACAAATGCAGGGGGGGGTGTCTTTAGGTATTTGTCAGAAGTGCGTCAAGGGGCACAGGAGGGAGAGATCAGTTCGGTAGTTGTGGGGTTCACACACAACTTACAGTTCCAGCCCTTTGGGCTAATTCCATCAATATTAAAATAGAGGTGAAATACACTCATTCTTAGGAGGAAGAAATGGCTTGCTTTGTAATGAGTTTGTTTGTCTGTCTGCTTTAAATGTTGCATCATCGATTAGTAATACTGAATGCGTAATGTGCCCTAGAAACAGCAACAATTTGAGAGGGAGACTCCAGAATGGGACTTTAAGATGTAGAAAAGACACCACCAGGTACCCGAAGGAGAAAAGCTTGTGATCAGGCATTGTTGTGTCGTCACACTTGCTGTAAACAGCTGTTTGCACAGATATGGACCGGGAGGAGGCAATGAAAGGGTGTAAAATATTACTAAAGGCAAGGGAATACCATCTGGCTCAGGTGCACTCGGAAGCCCCGGGGAAGCATGGAAATTCATGGACACTTGGAATTAAAAGAACTTTTTGAAGTTATCTTTCCCCTCTTTTGGGAAAGAGCGACTGGCATAGTAATCACACAAGGCAACATTTTTTTATCAGTGGGAAGTGCTGTAGACCCTGCTTTTAGATAGAGTGACTTCCCGCTGGAGCTAAGGTGCAGGAGTTAGTTACCTGGCAGTCCCCACACCATGGGTCAGCATATCCGGAGAAGAAATCTTTGCAGCTGGATAAGTATGGACCACGGGCTGCCTCAGACTCCCGAGAGCTTCCATTTCTAAAGGCCTGAACCTGAATCCTTTTTCCATAGATGCCCTATTGTCTGCTGTCTGTGACTGCCCCAGCCTCCCTCCCCTGGCTCCTCAGGCTCATCAAGAACGGCCGTCTTCCTCTTTGTGCGCCTTCCTAGCATTAGTGGGCAGTCCACCCCATCCTCAGGAAGTCTTGCTGAGGTTTATAGCACCCTCTCCCCGGCCTCAACCTATTCATGGGCAAAGCTCACAAACGGATGGTTAGTTTTCACCACCTCCACTTTTCTTTCATTTTCAAAGAATTCCCAGCTTCTTGATTCTCCTTAAACACTTGCTTCTGCCTCTCCCACCCTGTTGGGTCTGTCTTGGCCGACTCTCCTAATAAAAATAAAAATCTGATGAAAATCCAGGAATAGAATCACGGATGAGGTTAGGGTATGTGGTGTCTAGTTGCTCACTGATGACAGTGATAGCCAGCGTGTTTGCTGAAGCATTCCCAGGTGCTCGTGATTCTAACTCACAGGGACCCTCCGCTGCCTCAGAGCTTTCATGACAGACTCCTCACGGGAGCGGGTTGCCAGGTCTTTGTCCCACAGAGCAGCCGGTTGGTTCCAACCTACCCCTTTCTTTCGTTAGCAGCGGAGTGCCTACTCATTGTGCCTTCTGGGCTCAACTTACTAAGTGTTAGGGACCATGAAAACGGCTTTCAGTTGTTTTGTTTTTTTCCTTTAAGTCCTTACAACTGTGAAATATAGCTCACATGATTTGTTTCACAGATGAGAGAATTAAGGTGTAGGAAGAACAAGTAAGTGTTTTGCTTAAGTCTCCCAGCTAGTACATAATTTGACTTAGGACTTCAGCCCAGGACTTCCTGGCTTTAAAACCAAACCGAACTCAAAGGCCTGTTATTTTCTTGAAAACGTTTTTGTTTGTTACTTTTAAGGAATGCTACTGAAAGAGTGCTGGTGATCTAGTGAAAATCTCAATTCAGGAAGAAATCCCTAAAAGAGCTGCTTGATTTACTTCCTGGCTTTACCATGTTCTCAATGAGAAGTATCAGTTGAAGAATCTGTCTGCCTGTAGCAGTATATTCTACTTGGACATGAAATCAGATTCTCTTAACCCTGGTTCACTGTGCCAGTTGTCTCTGACTTTGGGAGGCACGCTAAACCGTTCCCCTAGTATGTTCTAAGTGCTGAAAGTACCAAACAAGTTTACCCATTAAGTAATGCCAGGAATTAGTTAGCTTCCTGGAAGCAGAATTTGTCAACCTGATAAACCAGCTCTTATAATAGTATCATCTTCTCCAAAATTAGAAATGGTTTTTCCAATCATGCTTATCAATTTGATTTGGAAGGTGTGTGTATGTGCATATGTTTTAATAACAGACTTCAGATAACAATCGAAACCTTGAGTTCTAATGCTGGTGATACTTTCACTGGTTATGCCTTAGAAAACACCTACCTAGTTATAATCTCCTTTACAGTGATGTTTTACTGTATTATACTTTATAATGTAGATAAGCCAATTTAATACGTAAGCTGATTTTCCTGGTATAGACATGATACTCTTCTTTTTTAAGTCATGGTTGAGAAATTGAAAAGCAAAGCAAAACAAAAGCAATTTTGTTTCTTTAAGGAACCTACATGGAAATTAATAGAAAGTAATTGAAGAAACTTATGTGTTTTAGTCTTGAGACGTGTACCTGCTTCTTCCCTTTACTACGTGCTTTTTCGGCAGTATGACGTGTGACTTTAGACATTCCTTTTCGTGTATTCTAAAGTGGAATGAGCCTGGAAAATGATTTTACTATTACTTCTTCGACAAGATTTAAATTTCATTTCATTTTTCCGAGGGAGCCGAGATCTCTTCGTAGGCACCCTCTGTTTCCTTTCCTGCGCCTGCTCAAGGGCACAGGGGCATCCACTCACATTGGTCTAGGGAGTGAGGAATGGCAGCTAGCACGGGAGGAGAGAATGGAGTGGTTCTGCTTCCTGTACTCCGCGCTGCTCCTCCCTTGCCAAGAGGTATCAGAGTCTCTCTAAGGGCAGTGACACAGGGCAGGAGATAGGCACTCTCCTTGGGTGGAGTCTTCAGTACTTGCTTCTTTTAAGGTGTGCCTCAAGTGACTCACTTGTCCTCATGGCAAAGTGTAACAACTCGTCCCTCATGTTTCCCTCTGGGTCAGCAACTTTATGTCTTTTCAGTCCTCATTAACTAAAAGGTATATTTCTTTGAAAAAGCATTTCTTTTTCAAGTTCACTCCATGCTGCTTGAGTGGACAAGGACCTTTTGAATGACCTGGGAAATTTTTGCACAGCATGGCATTGGGCTGACTGGGGAAGACAGACAATAGGACTGCCTTTTGACTTCCCTCTGGGAAGAAGAAGACCTATACATTTGTAAAGGGTTGGGGGGATTCAGAGACTAGGCTTGTGGAACAACTTCTCTTCAAAGGAGCTACACGAGGTCCTTGTCTGATGCCTTTAAAAATGTGCTTTCCTACATATGATGCTTTGAGGTTCACTCCTGGTTATGAAATAGTCGGTCCCAAGCCTGTTCCTATAGTATAGGCACGCTCATGACGCTGTCAAGGAAGCATTGGACTGCTCACTGTAAGGTTGATGGTTCAAACTCACCAGCCACTCTGAGGGAGATAGATGAGGCCATCTGCTCCACCCACATAAAGATTTACAGCCTTGGAGCCCCCAAGAGAGGGGTGTTAGGAGTTGGAATTGGCTCGATAGTAGTGGGTTGGGGCTTCCATAATCAGCTTTCAACCATTCCTCTTTGATTCAGTGCTTTATCATGCTGTGTTCTGTGTGCTTCACGCCATCTTCTCCCCTCTCCTCATGGAGTTTCTCTGGCTCGGGACACTGCTTGAGCAGGTGACTGCATGTGCATACACACGATTGAGTACATGCTGGTGCCAACAGTACATGCATCCGTTGTCATCACAGTGACGTGGTCTACACTCCTCTGTGTGCTTTCAGAGATATCCAGGGCATGTCGCGGGGTCTGTCACTTCCCCAGGGCAGAGCTCCCCAAGCTCGGGGGCCGTCATTTGTGGACTGCTGTGCTGGCCAGTGCCTAAGTGTTTTAGCCCATGTGTTCTCTTTCCCTGCAGACGAACAAGAAGCGTTGGATTCGATCATGAAGGATTTGGTGGCCCTCCAGATGGGCCGACGCTCCCGGCTACCTGGATATGAGACCATGAAGAACAAGGACACGGGCCACCCAAATAGACAGGTGTGTGTGCTAGCTGGATTTGCCAGGGAGGGGGGTTAGTCGTGGGAAAAGTGTGAGCAGCCCAGGGTTCTGTTGTAGCAGGCTTGGATGCTGTTGGCTCGTTCCTTTGAGTCTGTTCAATGCTAAGTGAGACACCACCTTGGAGTGGGCCTGTGATCTGGAGTCCAGAGCCTGTGCGCCTGCCCCTGACAGGCGGTAACTGGAAACCAAGAGTAATCCCTGTGCTCCTGGTGGAGACAGTATCCACATACTTCTTTTTCTTTACTAATTATTTGGCAAATATTTTATCCGGATTTGTGACTCCTAACTCAGATAAAATCATGCATACCCTAAAAATTAATTTTGATATCCGCTTACATAAACTCAAGCTAAAGAGAGAAGATTCTTTTGATTAAAATGTCACTTGGTATGTTCTAAAGTCCGTGGTGAGCGGCTTTGTGCTGTTACTGTTTATGGGCTTTCCTCCTTAGGAACTAGGGGACTCGAGGGTGCCTGCTTTATTGAAGCTGCCTGCTGTTTGGGGAAATGATTTTTAATTCTGGTACCAGTTCACTTTGTGTGCTGTTGCAGGGCTCTCACCTCCAGTGTCCTCTGCCTCTGTTAACTGAGCGTTTCGGCCGCAGAGAGGCACCAGGGGAGGGGCGCCTTGCTCCCCACTGGGTTTCCAGCGCAGCACCTGGGGTTTGATGGAAAAGTTTTCATGACGTTCTTCCTTGTGCGCTGTGTCCTCAGCAAGCTTCTCGGCTCCTCCTTTCACCTTGTCCACCCGCCAGAAGACCCTGGCTCCTGGAGGAACACACCAGCCCCTGGGTTTTCTTCCTTGGGGCCTACAAAATGTAGCTCCCGGAGTATTTCCTGCCTTCAGGAATACTAGGGGCCCCGAGTCCTTTTGTGTCATGTTAGAACACGAGGAAGGAGTCATTTCAAAAGCTGCTTTTATTTTTGTGGCTACCTTATAGAGTAGGGGACAGCGGACCAGGGCCCATTCTTGTATTATTTTCGTACATTGTTCTATCTAATCGCTTGGTTCCCACTTCACATTCAAAGCCACTTTTGGAAGGAGCTGTTCTTACCAGAAACGAGTCCCCTCCCCCAGGCGAATGACCTCACTTTCCTTCCTGTCTTCCTATGTGGCGTGTGCTCGCCAGTGCGCTCCAGTCAGCTGATCTTTCTCCTAACTGGACTGTTGGTGTGGACATCAGATAGTGGGCAAATGGGAGACGCTTTCTTGAGTTCAAAAGCCCAGAGGGACTGGGAAAGGAAGGATGGAGTGGTCCCCAGTCGTTCCTTGTAAGGAGATTGTTAGGAATCCTTCTGCTTCAAACTTAAAACTGATTAAAAGAGAAGAAGTCCCCGTCGTGTATTGTGCCTGCTGCTGTGTCTTGGAGTCAAGGGGTCATGAAGGGAGAAGGCTGGGAAAAGAATTAAGTACTGGTTAGGAAATAAGCCAAGAAGAGACACGGGCTCTGTGGACCCACAGTTTACTTGAATGTCGTTCACACGTTTTCCTGTTGCCTGCAGGACATAAATTAACCTCAGTTTTTTTGTTTTTAAAGAAAAAGCACAACAGCAGCAGCCCAGCCCTTCTGAACAGCCCCTCAATAACCACAAGCTCATGTGCAGGGGCCAGTGAGAAAAAGAAATTTTTGGTAAGGAACCAAGCCACCCCTTAAAGGTGAAATGTGCTTTCTGATATGATATTCGCGATATGAAGAGGGTAGATTTCATTTCTGGGATAAGGCATTTTCGAGAGGATGTAGGAGCCGCTGGCTGCACATGACCTGTGTCCTGTGCGCTGGTCACCATTTCTCACAGCAGGGCTACTCCTCTTCACTCAGTGCTGCCCAGTGAATGTTCTTGATGATGGAAATGTTCTAGATATGTGCTATCCAGTGTGGGCTATCGAGCAACTGACTTTGAAACTTATTTATTTTTATAGAATTTAAATAGTCATATGTGGCTAGTGGCTTTTGTTTGGAACAACACAGCTTTATGTTCTAAATACCAGAGACTGTTGGTTTCGAAGGGACAAGAAATGAGGTATGTGAGGCTTGGAGCCTCATTGGTACAACCATTCCTGTCACACAGGCTCAGGGGTTTAGATATCATGATAAACTTATCAGCAGGAATTCCATCTGAGGATTCAGTTTCAGGGGGGCGGTGGGATCTGGGGAGAACTGATTGAAGCCCAGAGCATGTAAGCATAACTCTTTAGAAACTGGAGCTCACGTTCTCTGCCGGCATTGAGTCGAAGGGCTATGAAAATGTCACAGTAGCTTTTCCCGTATATGTAGTCATAGTGGAGCAGATGCCTAGCTTCTGACCAGGAAAGTTGTCTTTCAGCAAAATCCAGAAAGCACAGAGAGAGAACAAGTCTATGTGCATGTGGGGTAGAGTGTGCACATGGAGGGGTGTTTACAGCAACCTGGCCGGGCAGTTCAGAGATATTGTTAATAATCCATTTATATAGGACTTTATAATTTACAGAGTGAATTCACCTTTATTTATTGTTGGTTTCGTTAGTTTGCGCCTGGGATAGGATGGAACCATCTTCTACATGATTTCACCAGAAGGCTCATGCTTAGGAATAGGAGAAACAAAAGATGCAAACCTAAGTTAAATGGCTAGGAAAGGCCAAGTTGGCCATCAAGTGGAACTAAAGATTCAAGTTGCAGAGCCCTTTGAAAGTAACAAAGTCCTTTGGCTAGCACCGGGGGTTGTTTGTTTAAGGGTGAAATGGTATTGGCAGAGGCAAGCAGGCCTTCAGTGTGAGAACGGCAGTGCCAGCTACAAGGCATTGTTGAGATCGGCACAACCTTCTAGGGCTTAGGCTTGACCCGGCCAGAAGCCTAGGGGAGGTGCAGGCTCATTGACAGAATTGTTTGGAGGCTGAGGCCAGAAAAACTGGAAAACCCAATTTAATTTCTATTTGGCATGACTTCAGACTTCCTTTTCTATGAGTGAGTGAGCTAGGTAAGTGATTGAAAAGGAGACTGCCTTTGAGAACAGATAAGCCTTCTGAGCAGCTCTGGAAGTCCACGGACGGTGAGGCGCCAGCTATCGTAGCAGGTAGGGTCTTTGGTCTCCCTCTGTCCATTCCACCCGTGGCAAGAGCTGGATGATGATTCCTCAAGGCTCGAAAGGCCCTGGCTGTGTCTGTGGACTGCGGCTGGTTCTGCTGGCCATGATGGACAGTGCTCCTTTACCTGTGGGTGCTGGGTCTCTGTGGGCTGGACAGTTTTCATTCTAGGTAAGAAGAGCACAGGCCTATGAGTCACGGAGTGGTCAGTATCCATTCAGGGTTTACAGTTTGCGGAGTGCTTGCAGCAACAACAATTTGTGGAGTGGGCAACAAGTATAGAAAACAAAAACTCAAACGAGGACCTGGTGCCGGGGGCTTAAGTGGAGAGCAAATGTTTTGAGAATGATGAGGGCAATGAATGTACAAATGTGCTTTACACAATGGGTGTATGTATGGATTGTGATAAGAGTCGTATGAGCCCTTAATAAAACGATTAAAAAAATTTTTCAACAACAACAAAAAAGAAAACAAAAAACTCACTGCTATCAATTTGATTCCGACTCCCAGTGACTCTAGGACAGAGTAGAACTGCTCCTGTGCGTGTCTGAGGCTGTAAATCTTCACAGGAGCAGAAAGCCTTGCTTTCTCCCATGGAACCACGAATGGAGTCGAACTGCTGGCCTGTGGTTAGCAGGTCACTATGTGCAACCCCCACCACTAGTCTGTCAGTTTGTTGTGCTGTGGTGCCTTGTATGTTGTTGTGGTGCTGGAAGCTGTATCACTGCTATTTCAGACGTCAGCAGGGTTGCCCAAAGTGAACAGGTTTCAGGGGAGCTTCCAGACCAGGAACAGACGAAGAAGGAAGGAATCAGCGGTCCCCTTTGGAGGAATTAGCTGCTGACAACCTTAAGCAGAGCACTGAAACACTGTCAGATACTCGAGGGCCTAATGAATGGAAGCCGAGCACTGTCAGAGATAGTGCCAGAGATGAGTCGTTCAGCTCAGAAGGCACTCAAAATTCGACTGCGGAAGAGCTGCTTTCTCCAGGTGAAGTTGACCATAATGACGCGAATAGAGTAAAGCCTTCAGATTCTTCATTTGCTGATGGGGCATGATTCAAAATGAGAAGAAACAGCTGCAGAAAATCTACAAATAATCAGAACTTGTACCAACTCTGAATCTAGGAAAATTAGGTCGTCAACAATGAAACGCATTAAGATTGATATCTTAGGTGTTAGCTGACATAGATTGGTATTGGTCTTTTTGGATCAGAAAATGATCTGATTTCCTATGCTGTGAATGGTACAATCATGAATGCTGTTCCATCCATCCTCAAAAAAGACATTTCAAGATATATCTTGAAATACAGTACAGTCTGGGATAGGATTATATCTATCCATGTATAACGAAAATCCAGTCCAAACAACTGTGATTCAAAGTTATACACCAACCATGGAAGTTAAGTGATGAAAAAATTGAATTCTACCAATGATGTGGAACAGGGATATCATTGCCAGTAACAGATGGATCTTGGCTGAAAGCAGGGAATACCAGAAAGATGTTTACTTGTGTTTTATTGAAGATCAAAGATTGCAGCCTTCAGTATGGATTCTGACTCAAATGTAATGAAGACCAAAATCTTCACAATAGGTAACATCATAATAAACAGAGAAAGGGTTGAAGTTGTCAATTATTTAATCTTGCCTGAAACCACAATCAGTGCTCATGGAAGCAGCAGTCAAGAAATCAGATGACACACTGCATTAAGTAAATCTGCTGCACAGGCCCCTGAAAGTGTTGAAAAACAAAGAGGTTACTTTGAGGGAGGACTAAGGTGCCTCCTATGCAGGTGAAAGTTGAATAAGGAACATTGAATCAGGAAGACCGAAGAAACAGTGCATTTGAACTGTGATGTAGGTGAAGACTATGGAAAGTACCCTGAACTGCCAAAAGAACAAACAAATCTGTCTTGGAAGAAGTGCAGCCAAAACACTTCTCCGAGGCAAGGATGTCGAGACTTGGACATGCTGTTAGGAGCGAGCAGCCCCTGCAGAGGGGTGCCATGCGCGGTAAAGCGGGGGGCCAGCAAAAGCAAGGAAGGCCTTGATGGGCTGGATTGACAACAGGGGCTGCAGCCAGGGGCTCAAGCGTAGCACTTGGGGTAAAGCAGGACTGGGCAGTCAAGTTGGGCTCTGTCGGACAGAGGCTCACTAGGAGTCTGAACCAACGTGGGACCTGACAACAGTAAGTGCAACCTGCTGTGCCACCAGGGCCCCTTCAGCGACTACAGTGTGTGAATGATACTTGGGGTTTACAGAGCTCCTTCACAGAGGTGCTGAGAGGAGCCAGGAAGCAAACCCAGATCTTGTGACCCTGATCAGAGCATTTCTACCATGCATAAGTCATACAGCTTTCCTTCTATAACCTTAGATGTTCCACTGAAAAATAGGCCTAGTCATACCCAACAAGTCTACCTTTTAAGGTTCCAGTAAGATGAATGGCAGAATGCAAAGCACTTTGTACACTGTAAGACGGATGTGCAAATACACATAAAGTTGTGGTGCGAACGCTATGTCCATTGGGGCTCGGGGATTGCGGGTTTGAGCTGGTGAGAACTTAGAACCAGAGCAAGGAATTGAGGGCGTGGTAGCTTTTCTGCCTTCACAGAATTGTCCTTCCTGGCTGGCTGTTGGACCTTTGATAACTTCTAAAGCTAACCCAATTAAAACATTTTTCCCCAGTGGAGAAGAAATAGAAATAATCCCTGTTTCAACTAATCCTTACTGACCTTGAATCTTAGCAAAATGGCAGGTAGAGGCATTGAACAAACACCTGAGTCCATGTGTTCACTGGTGGGTACTTCTCAATGCAAAAGCAACTGTCCTCGGGCCAGTAGGGCCTGGCTGTCCATTCTGGAAGAAGGTTCCTCTTTCCAGGAGCTTCCCCCTAGCAAGGGAGGGGATTGAGACCACTGCTCTGTCTCTTTCCTCCCCACTCCCTTCTTTCAAAGGGGCTTGTGGATTGGCTAATTTGAAAATAAAACATATCGAAAGCAACACAGAAGCTTGGCATTCATTAAATTTTGTAAGAAAGTTACTGTATAATCATATCTTTCAGTGATCTTTGGGCTTTTCCTGAACTATATTTATGGATAAGATGTTGGTAAAATACTTAAACAAGGTGTGGATGTTATCCAGCAAATATAGGGTAGTGGAGCAATGCAGAATCGGGGAGAGGGTTCGAGGGCTGATGGCTAATGAGCCCTTTGCCAGGACAGAGTGGTTCGCAAACCTTTGTCAAATAAACAGTTGCTTTTTCTGGATTACTTAGTGTTCTCTTGAGTTGGTTACATGTATAGCTGTCAAATTTGGACTTTGAGAAGGTCATAGTTTAGCCTAACTTCAGGATCATCCTTTACTTCTGTGATCAGCCTGGAGGCCTGAACTGTCTCTCCTTGGGCATGGCTCTCAGGACTGCTTTCACCACATTGGCTGTGGAGGCCCCGGGGCTTGAACCTGCCTAGACCTGAATTCCTAGATGTGAATTCTTCACTTAATGTGCTGTAACCCCTCTTCATTCAGTCCGGCACATGCTTTATTCAAGCTACTTGAGTCATGCATGTGCTTT